AGCCACCCAGGCGCCCTGAGAAATGTACATTTAATCTGCACAGCACCCAACCCAAGGGACACCTATTCCTGATGTGTGTATAGGAGTACAGGAGCACTGGGGCTGGAGAAAGGGTGGAAGGTGGGATCCCTCTAGGGTGACCTTGAGGTTGCCGGTGGGGTGGGGGGCGGGCAGGAGCACATGAGCTCTGGGGGAGAAGACTAGCTGCCCAGCCTCACAAGCAACTGGCCTGACCTGCCAGGGTGTACTCGCACTCCCCAGGCTGTGAAATGACTCCGGTGTGTAAGTCTGCTGCTCAGGGGGAGGGAAAGTGGGGTGGGGAGGCAGGAGGAGGAATGTGGGCAGGGCCAAGTTTAGAATTACAAGTGCAAGTGCCGCAGAGGAGTTGGAACCATACTTTAAATAGCCAGCACCTTCCCCTTCCCCCTTAGATAATTCTTCTCCCCCTGACTGGACCTCTGGCAGCAGCTGCACTAAGGTTCGTAATATGTTCTCTCTCTCTCTCTCTCTCTCTCCCTCCCTCCCTCCCTCTCTCATTTTTCTGTTTCTGGGTCTCAGACTATAGGATGGGATCATAGGACTTACAACCAAAGGATTTTTTGATCCTCCTAGAATATATGTTTCTGACATTCATGTGTGTACATGCAAAGCCTAGATGGCTATATTCTTGGCTTTCTGAAACTGCAGTGGCTGTTGACTTAAGGGACAATGCGATTTAGAGAAAGAGAGCCCTAGATTGAGCAGAAAGGAAAGCTTTTTTCTCTGTGAAATGAGACAATGAGCAACTCTTTGACAAGATTGAAAGAAACTACAAATTTGAGTGCCTGTTATTCTGCTAAGTCCTTTACTTTATATGCATAACCTCATCTAATCCTCCCCACTTTTACAGATGAGTGAACGAAGGCTCAGAGTAATTAATTAACTTCTCTGAAGTTGGGCAGCGAGTGGTACAGCACAGACCTAAGATTTGTACCCGGCTTGTCTGATTCTACAACTCATGACCTTTTTGTTGCACCACACAACCTCTGAGAAACAGTACCCTAATGAGGCAAGGGACCCAGGATAGGGCTACTGTTTCTTCTAGGGTCTGAGAAGATGAAGGAGTGGAGGGAGATGGCGTGCCATCATTGGAAGACACCCATCGGATGGTAAAGGGAGGCTGAGAACCGGCACAAGACGTTAGACAACCTTCTCAAAAGGACTGAGGAAGCTTGCTTCTTGGGACCAGCTGCTTGGATTTCTCCTTCTCAGTGCACACTCTTTGGAGCCTATTCCCTAATTTATCAAATAAGCAAAGATCCCTACTGTTTCTTGACTTTCTCTCTAACTTTTTGAATCCTGAAGGTAGCCCCCGCTGAGGAAACTGAACCATAGGAGAGTCTGGCCAGATGGGGCTCCCAATGAGAAAGTTCTGTTAACATGAATTTTTCTTGAGGGGTACAAAAATGTCCATCTGCTTACTTCTCCGGGAAAGGGGCCACTGTGAAAAATCAGGGAGAGTCATTAGAAGATGCTTCTTTAGACATGCTGAGAGACGCCTGGGTGGCTCACCTAGTTGAGCGTCTGACTTGATTTCACCTCAGGTCATGATCCCAGGGTCATGGGATCGAGCCCCATGTAAGGCTTTGCACTGATCGTGGAGCCTGCTTGCGATTCTCATTCTCTCTCTCTCTCTCCCTCCCTCTGCCCCTCTTCCCTGCTCATGTTTTCTCTGTCTCTCTAAAATAATTAAAAAAAAAAAAAAGACATGCTGATAAACCTGGGCAGCCAATTAAATCGAGAGATTTAATTGAAAGAGCAGGGACAGAGTGGGTTCAAGTCCCACTTGTGCAATTTACTCGCTATATGACCACAGATATGTCATTTAACCTCTCTGAGCTGCACCTTCTTTATTTACAAAGCAGAACTAATACTGCTTATGTTTCAGGGTGGTTGTGTGGATTAAGTGAAATAAGTATATGTAAAGTGCTTTGTAGTAGTTACTCTTTACGTGTGAGCCATAGCAGATCTTATCTTCAATCTCAGTAAGAGTCTAGAATAGGGCAGGGGAACATTTGGAACTGTGGCCCTTTATTCATTTCATGTTGTCTTCTCTACTGAAATAGATTCCCACATGTTTCATCACCAACAAAGAAAAAGAGCCCATAGTTCATCTTTCTCTTATGTTGACTTCAGAGAGAGGTAGAAAGATAGCTGGGAAGGTCAGTCCATCTTAACTCAGCTTCTCCCATTCCTTTGGAAGGATTTCTTTTCTTTTCTTTCTTTCTTTTTTTTTTTGAAAGAGACCAAGAGTGAGCTTTAGGCGGGGGCAGAGACAGAGAGAGAGAGAGAGAGAATCCCAAGCAGGCTCCTTGCTGACAGTAAAGAGCCCGACTCAGGGCTCAAACTCACAAACTGTGCGGTCATGTCCTGAGCTGAAATTAAGAGTTGGACACTTAACTGACTGAGCCGCCAGGAGCCCCTGGAAGGAGTTTTTAAAAACTTGCTTTTATTTTAATGTTACAAAATAAATCATGTTCTTTGATGAAAACATAGAAAATAGAAATAAGGAAAATATTCCTATAATCCAACCACTGAGCGAGAAACATTTTGGTGGATATCCTAGTCTTTTTTTTTTTTTTTAACGTTTATTTATTTTTGAGACAGAGAGAGACAGAGCATGAACGGGGGAGGGTCAGAGAGAGAGAGGGAGAGACAGAATCCGAAACAGGCTCCAGGCTCCGAGCTGTCAGCACAGAGCCCGATGCGGGGCTCGAACTCACGGACCGCGAGATCATGACCCGAGCCAAAGTTGGACACTTAACCGACTGAGCCATTCAGGCGCCCCTATCCTAGTCTTTTGATGCATACACTTTATAAAATGTTTTCCAAGCATGATCATATCATATGTGCTATTTTATAATTTTTCACTCCACATATCGTGAACACTTTCATTTCATTACACTTTCTTCTGCAACACAATTTTTCATGATTATATATTAGTCCGTTGTATGTATGGGCCATAATTTCTTAACCTGTGTGTGTTTTCTAATTTTCTGCTGCTGTAAACAATGAACATCCTCAGTGCCAAATCTTTATCCACAGTCACAATTATTTCCCTAGAGTAAATTCCTGCATGGGAGATTGGTGGGTTTGAGGATCTTTTCCACTGTCCCCATACAGAATACAGACACTGGAGCACATGCTAACACAGACAAAGCTGGTTGTAGGATGGCGTGGAGAACTTAGCCCAGGGGCCATGTGAACTCTTCCATGTCCACAAGCCCCAACCCAAGAGGCCCTCCCTAGTGGAAAGAATATCTATACTTCAGCATCAATGCTTTCTTCCTGAACAGTAAAGGAATATACATTCTTAGCAGGTGTTACCCAGGCTTTACCAATATGAGATGCCAAGGAAGACGTGGGTCTATAGGCAAGGGGGTAGGAATTTACTTTCTCCTGGTGCACTTATTCCCTCGGGAGTTTGCTGGTGAAGGAAGGGGAAGGCTTTCCTCCCAAGGTTCCCAGCGGTAATAGAACACTCTGCTTGTTTTTCAGGTGGGATGGATAGCAGGATCTCGAGCACAGCCAGCAATGGGGAGACAAAACCAGTATACCCTGTCATGGAAAAGACGAAGGAAGATGGTACCCTGGAACGGGGGCACTGGAACAACAAGATGGAGTTTGTGCTGTCAGTAGCCGGGGAGATCATTGGCCTAGGCAACGTCTGGAGGTTTCCCTATCTCTGCTACAAAAATGGGGGAGGTGAGAGCTACTGCGCCACCCCACCCGTCCCTGGAAGGAGGATGTCTCCATCTCCTGTAATTATTGCCCCTCTGGGGACTCCCATGGGTGCATAGAATGCTGGAGTTGGACAGCCCCTTACAAGTCAGTAAGGACACTGCAGGAGACTGAGACCTAGAGAGATTATGTAACTCTCCCAGGGGTCTTTCTAGAATGCTATGGCATCATAGACATATGAACATAGGTTTGGAACCAGATGTATCAGAATTTGGATTCTGGCTCTGCTACTTACTCTCTGTGTAGTCTTGGGCAAGTTATTGAGGCCCTCAGAGCCTCAGCTGCTGTTCCTGTAAATTCAGATAGTAGTACCTGCCTTTAAGTTGCTGTAAGGATGAGAGGTAATATGTGTAAAGTGCTTAATAAATGGCAGCTGTGTTGAAGATGATGTTGATACTGAACTGTCCTGTGGTCTTGAGACTCCTTAGTCTTTGTGTTTTCCCTTTCTCTGCTGGCATTGTGACATTCTCTAAGCCAGTCATTACCCAACCCCTACCAGTGTCATAACCTTTGATACTAGTGGCTCTGCCTTCAAAACTTCCCACTGAAAGTTTGTGTGTATGCAGTATTAACTCTAACTCTTTCCTAGGGCTTTTTTGGCTTCTCATTCCTCCTATCCCTTCCAGCCTCCTAGAATAACTTTGCTACCCCACAGCAGTGGTGGTAATTTTCCAACCAGTAACTCACTTTCAGGGAATCCCAGACCTCTGTGGGACGCCCTGGAGGGATTTCTCAGGTACTGAAGTGTTCTGGCTGAGCAGTAGGTTACGAACATCTCCTTGTTGATGGGTAAAGCTTATAGGTGTTGGGGCTCCCAGATCTGGTTTGGAAGTGAGGTTGCAGCCTGGGCTGCCGGAGGGGGAAGTGCAGAGGTAGGTAACGCGGGGAAATGCTGAGGGCAGTGGTTATTCTGGGGCCATGAGGATTGGAGGGTACCCTAATGTGACACCCAGCCTTGTGCAGGGGAGTCAGAGCCTCCAAATGCATTGAGCTCAGTCTCCCGGTGGTTTCGGACAGTGGAGGTGGGAGGGCCAGAGAGGAGGGTACAGAGGTCCTCTGAGCCCATGGAGCCTATTCTCAGGATTGTGGCAATTGGAGGATTGGCCATGGAGTTGGAAGTTAATTTGTATGTTTCCAGAGGGGTGGGTATGGGCTGATGCGTCCTTTCTCCCCAGGGATTTCTGGCCAGCAGCCTGAAATCACAGGACTTTGTTCCGTGTGCCCTGTGAGGGAAGGAAGGAGGTCTTCCCACTTTGAACCTAGTCCTGGACACTCCACACGCTTCCCTTCAGAGAACTGGGTGGAGGGACAAGGCTGGTCCAGGGAGGAGGAGGAATCTGGGGGCTAAAGCTGGCCACTGGGACTCTATATCTGGAGCCTAGTAACCAGCTTAGCTCCTCACATGGCAGGAAGATTAGGAGGTGAGCGGCTTTCCCCAAGCCTCTCTGGAATTGGGTAAAGGTTGGCCTGGGAATTAGCAGGAGTGGCACGAAGACGTGGGAGGGAGTGATATCCAGGTCTGGCGCAAAACTGCTGGGCTGAGAAAGGTGAAGAGAAGGGAACCGTAATAGGAGCAGTGGGGGGTGTGGGCTCACCCTGTTGAGGGAGCTTGTCTGGCAGTGTTTGGATCTGAGCTCTGCCTTGGGACTCTGTGGTGAGTCTGTGTAGGCCTGGGAGTGTGTGACATTGTCTCCAGGGGAAATGCAGGCCCAAGAGGAGAAAAGAATCGGGGGCCCGTGTTTCTTGCTATGGGCTTGTGAGGGAAGAGGGTGGGTATGATGGCTGTGGCTGCTTCCTCCCTGGAGAGAGCCTGCCTTCCAGCATGCTGATTCCGATTGAGAGTGGAGACATTTTCAGGGGTCCCGGATCCAGTCAAACTCTCGGTTTAATCCCTAACACTGCCACCCACAATCTCTTCCCTTGATCAAGTGCAGGGTCTTAGGACTCCTCTTTTCCTTGATGGACGACAGCAGCTGGAGGGAAGTGTTCTGAGGGGCTTTGGAGCTAGAGACTGATGCCCAGGTTTGCTCTGAAGGGCATGAGTCACCCAGGGCCACCGGGGGAATTAATGGAAAGCCTCCTTTGCCAAGGTAAGGGGGACTAACCGAGGAGGTGTGTGCTCGTGAGAGGGACCTAGATATGCCTGGGTTTTGGGGTTCCCAGCAGCTTAACCTTTCTGTCACCACTCAGCCCCCTTCATCTCCCAGCAAAACAAAGTTCCCACAGAGAATGGGTCCCCACACTTCCTCTTCTCACCCCCTTGTCTGTCAAGGAACAAACTGATGCCTCTTTCTGACCCTTTGCTACCAGTATGGGGAAGGAAGGTGAGGAGAATGGAGACCACTTACATTGATTTGACCCTTTTCCTCCTGCTTTAGTGATTTTATTTAAACCCATGGTCCTCCAACTGGGACCTGGACTCTCAGGGGATGAGAGGAATGTTCTGACCAAGTTCTGGAGAAGGATGCTGGGGTCCTCTGGGGTGTATCATGCTCAGGTAATGGACCCTATCGGCCTGCTTCTGGGCTTCTGGGCCCTTTCTTCAACTTCCTAGCTTTAAACAGCCACTTTTGTGCTTGGGGCAGGAGGGGAAGATAAGCTTGGCCCTTTATTATTATCAATATTTGTCTAGTGGTGAGGTCAGAGATTAAAAAAGTCCCTAAAATATAATTTTAGTTCCAAACTTAAGAAATACAAATGATGTCTTCTTGGGTTCCTTCTAGCTTTAACATTTGGTAGATCCAATTTGAAGTGAGTTCCAGAGCAGAGAAAGGGCTGAAGCAAGAAGATGATAGAAAAGAAGGTAAACTAGTTAAACACTAGAGTTGAAAACCAGAGAAGCTGAGACAGTGATTTAAAGAAGCCCATCTAAAATCAGAAGAAACTGGTAGGCTTTTCAGAGAGATGGATGAGCGAGATGCCTGCCTCAATCATCTCCTAGCTGAGCACAATCCCTGCTGTCCGGGACCTGTGGCCAACCCACCCCCACATATCTTTTTGGAGTCTCCAGTCTCAGCCAGTTGCCCCAGCACACAGCCCACCAAGCCCCGACCCTGCCTGAGTCATTCAACAGCAGTTACAGGGTACAAACTATCTGCCTAGAATTATTCTAAGCTGTTGGGCTACATCTACAAACAGAACAGAACAATTCCCTGTCCTCGTGGGGCTTACATTCTTGAAGAGGGAGCCAGACAATAAACAATAAATGTAGTAAATAAGAAAATTATATATAGCATATCGGAAGTTAATGGGTGCTGTGGAAAATGACCAAGTAGAGCTGGGAAAAGAGGATCAGGAGTGTGTGTGTGTGGAGGGGGCACATCGAGAACATTTGAGCAAGGTTTGCCAGGAGCGAGAGGGCTGGTCATGTGGATATCGAGGGTAAAAGTGCTCCAAGCAGAGGACACAAAAGATTTAATAGTAGTAAAGCAAGAGGCTGACTGGCTTATTTGAGGAGTTGCAAGGAGGGGAGTAAATAGAAGCTGAGGTCAGAGAAGTAAATAGGACGAGGGTGGCAGATCATGTAGGTCCTTGTCAGCTATTGTAAGACTTTGGCTTTTGCTCTAGTGACATGGGGAGACAGGGCAGGGTTTTGAGCAGGAGCGGCATGATCTTACATTTTAAAATAATCTCTTTGGCTGCCGTTGAGAACTGATTGTACACGAGTCGGGGCAGAAGCAGACCAGTTACGAGGCTAAATATTTCGGAGTCATCCTTGAGTCCTTCCCTCCCGCTCCCAGACTGTTAGATCTACCTAATTACCCAGATTCTGGGGGCTTCAGAGCATGAGTCTTTAGCTGGAACCTCTCCAGCTCCCTGGACTCTGGCTGCCAACAGACTTGAGGAACCCAGAGTGCCTGGGACTGGAGACCCCACATGATGTATGCAGAATCTGACACCTCTTGTCACTTCCACTGCTGCTGCCTGGGCTTAGCGGTCCAAGGATTGCAGACTGAGCACTGCGAAGGAAGGAGTTGCCCTTTACTGTGATGTGGAAGGCCATAAGAGGAGCAGGTTTTAAGAGGAAAATAAGGAGTTGACTTTGGGGAACACTGAGTGGAGATATCTGTCAGATATCAAGTGGAGATGTCGACTAAGCAGTAAAACATATGAGTCTGGAGTCTGTGAGAGAGATGTGGATGGGAGATATAAATTTGAGAGTGATTAGAATTTTGATGGTGATAAAAGAGAGCAAGGACTGGGGGGAAGGGGAGGGACCATCAGGAGACAGAGAAGGAGAAACCAGTGGAAGAAAGATGATACCAGGATGATGAAGTGTTTTGGGAGGCAAGCATCAAATGCCGCAGATAGGTTAAGAAAGATATGGAGTGAGAATGAAGTGTTGGCTTTGGTGGCATGGAGGCCTTTGGTGACCTTGTAGGAGCAGTCCCAGTGGTATGGCGGGGCAAAGGCCGCTTGCAGTGGGTTCAAGATAATGGGGAAAGAAAATGATTAGAAATAGGAAATATGGGTGATTTGGGCAAAACTTGGGAGTGGGCAAAGTACATTTCTGCTGTCTGTGTTCTCCCTCCTGGGGAGGGATAAGCCAATATGAGTGCCGCGTAGTAGTGACAGTGTGCCCGTATGTCTGGCGGTGGTGGGGATGGGTCTCCTGACTGGAGAAGTGGCCCAAGAACTATTTCTCAAGCTCTCCACCCTCAGTTCCCTGGAGGGAAAAGCAAACATGACCTTCCACCAGGGCCTATCCCTTAAAGTTCTAGCCATGCAGATGAAAAGTCTCTGGATAACTCAAAAGGCATGATGTTGGGGAAAGGTGGTAGGAGAGGGTTTTGGCAAGAGAATTCAACTCTACCACAAGGGAATTTTAGTTACTTGCCTGCCAATCTCAGCCCAGACAAAAAGACCATCTGCCAAACATTTTATGCTTAATTCCTTTTCTTTTTAAAGATTTTATTTTTAAGTAATCTCTACATTCAACATGAGGCTCAAACTCACAACGCCAAGATCAAGGGTCTCATGCTCCTCTGACTGAGCCAGCCAGGCGTCCCTATACTTAATTTCATTTTTTTAAAGTAGCTCCACACCGGCTGTGGAACCCAACACGGGGCTGAACTCACAACCCTGAGATCAAGACCTGAGCTGAGATCAAGAGTCAGACACTTAACCTACTGAGCCACCCAGGCACCCTCACCCCCCACACTTAATTTCTAAGTCCAGGTTGCTGAAAACCAGGGGCAGAGGTCACTTGTGCTAAGAATCGTTGGTTTTTGCTAGTCATAGAACAGCAGCTGGAGATCAGTTACCTTGTGCGAGGACAGGTGCTTCCTTCTTCCTTGTACCCCGCCTCCCCCCAAGCCCTCTCTGCTTCTGATCTTCAGTCCCCAGACACCCAGATCCTGGTGGCTTCAGAACATGGGCCTTCCGCTAGGATCTCTCCAGCTCCCTAGACCTGGCTGCCAGCAGACTGAGTTTCTCAACACCTGGGATGCCTGGAGACTGCATGTGAGGCTACAGCAGAATGTCCCGCAACTGGATCTCTAGGAATGGGGATCTTAGAGGAGCAGGCTGTGGGGGAAGGGCAGCTCTAGACCATAGGGAGATGAAGGCAAAGAGGATTAAATGGTACCTGGCCTCAGGGAGAACTGGTCACCTTGCTGTTGCTTGTCAGTATGTAAGAACAGAGAGAAGAGAAGAACACTTTTTTCCTCCATGTAACAGTAATAGCTATTTTAGTAGTGTGTGATGATTTGTTACCATTTTCAGTTAATTACTCACCCCCCAGGAGTGGTCAGATTAGTGGTGACTGCAGCACATAACTGCTCATGTATGCTCACTGCTGTGTTGCTCATGTGGAATCTCATCTGTTAATGTTTTAAAATATTAGCTGGAACGTTACAGATGACACCACAGAGTGTGCTGCTTTTGTGAAGGGTGGCCTACAGAATGATTCCCCTCTAGGTTGGGCATGTGGCCTCTCCATCTCATGGGGGAACAGGCCAGGACCTTTTAGAATTTGGAGAAGGAGACTAACCCACAGGAATAGGGAGCAGGTAACTGAACTCCATCCTCCACCTCTAGGACTAGCTCCATCTTTTAATGGTGGTGACTGGGGCTGTGGGGAAAGAGGCAGAGTGCCCCCAAAGCACTCCCCAGTCTGCACCTGGCTCCCTCTGGGTCCCATCTCTCTCCTACCCCTTCCCTTTGTAGGACTAGTGGCTCTGCTTATTGAGTGTGAACCTTGCCCCTTGTGGCCAGCTGCCCACGTGCTCAAAGAGGCAGAGGAGGAGAGGCATAGAGCTGACCATGGAACCTACTGCAGTTAAACATTGGCTTGGTTTATTGGGAAAGAGCAGGTAGCATAAAGATAGGGAGGTGGGGCTTGAGCTGGGCAAAAATTCTCTTTCTCTCGGTCTTTCTGTCTCTCCCTCTTCTCTCTCCTTTTTTTCTGCCATGCTTTCAACTCTGAGCAGTAACTGTCCATATCAGCTACTAAGTTCTGTCTTCCCTTATTTTCCTTTCCTACTCAACAAGTCTTGGGTTGACTTATGGACTTATTAGGCTGAGGTGTTTATGATCTTTATTTCTTTGCCCTTCTGGTAATCAGGTGCCTTCCTCGGTGCCTGACTTATGGATGTGTAGACTACAGGCCAGAGATTTGAAAGGTGAAGGACTGGAGAGCTCTATTCCCCATTAACTTTCATTTTAAACCGTTTCATTTCCTCCATCCCCAGGTCTTTGGCAACCACCATTCTACCCTTTAATTCCACAGATTTGGCTTTTTAATTTTTATTTTAAGTTTGTTTGTTGTTTTAGTAATCTCTACACCCAACGTGGGGGTCGAACTCACAACTCCAAGATCAAGAGTCACATGCTCTTCTGACTGAGCCAGCCAGGCACTCCAAATTTGGCTTTTTTAGATTCCATATATGAGAACAATCAGTATTTGTTATTCTCTCTCTGAAAATGTAATGTCTTCGAGGTCTATTCATGTAATCTCAAAAGGCAGGATTTCCTTTTCATGTGTTGATATTTAAAGTGCATTTCTTTTAAGCAACATGTAGCTGAACCTCGTTTTTTTTTTTTTGAAGCCAATCTGACAATCTCTGCCATTTATTTGGGACATTTAGACTATTTACATTTAAAGCAATTATTCATACAGTTAAATTTAAATAAAATTATCTTGCTTTTTGTTTCCTACTTGTCTTATCAGTTCTTTGTTCCCCTTTTCCTATCCTTCTGCTTTCTTTTGAATTAATTGAATATTTTTTATTATTCCATTGTTGGCTTTCTTCCTTTGATGACTTATTAGCCATAAGCCTTTGTTATGTTAGTTGAATGATTGTTTTAGGTTTTGTAGCATACATTGGGTTTTTTTTTAATGTTTATTTTTGAGGGAGAGAGAATGGGAGTTGGGGAGGGGCAGAGAGAGAGAGAGAGAGAGAGAGAGAGAGAGAGAATCTGAATCAGGCTCTGCGGTGACAGCACAGAACCTGATGCAGGACTTGAATTCATGAACTGAGAGATCATGACCTGAGCTCAAGTCAACCAACTGGGCCACCCAGGTGCCCCTGTAGCATACATCTTCAATTTATCACAATTCACCCTCAAGTAATATTATACCACTTTACATATAAGAACCCCACAATAATACATTTCCATCTCTCTCCTCCTGACTTTTGTGCTCTTGTTGTTACATGTTTTACTTTTTCATCTGTTATAAACTCCACCTTACATTGTGTAACCAGTCAGTTAACTTTTCAAAGAGATTTGGGTGATAAGAAAAAAATTCTTATATGTTTACTTGTGTATGTAACATTTCTAACATTCTTCGTTCCTTTGTGTAGATTCATATATCTCTCTGGCATCATTTCCCTCTGGCTGAAGGTTTTTCTCTAACATCGCTTGTAGTACAGATCTTTTGGTGATGGATTCTTTCAAGTTTTGCTTGTCTTAAGAAGCATTACTTCACTTTCATTTCTGAACAGTATTTTTATTGGGATTTTTATATTTCTATAAAAATTCTTGAGCTTTGCTCGGGACCAGTGAAGTTATTTGATACTTTTGGGTTTTGCTTCTAAGATTTGTTAGGGAGAACCAGAGCTGTGCTCAATCTAGGGCTAATCATTCCCCACTTCTGAGGAAATACCTTCTCTCCCCAATGCCTTGAGAATTCTGGGACTATCCAGTCTGGCTAGTGGGAGCCAGCACTCTTCCCAGCCCTGTGTGAGCACCATTACTCTCAATCTTTCTGAATGGTTCTTTCCCTTAGTTCGGGTCATTTCCTCCTATGCAGATGCTGAGTGGCACTCAGTTGAAAGCTAGAAGGGAACTCTCCACAGATATTTGGATCTCCTTCTGTGTGCAGTTCTCTCTTCCCTGGTACTCTGTGAACTGCCCTATCTACCTTGCCAACAGATAGAGGTCCACAGTGGAGAAAATGCCAGCATTTCCAGAATCAGTACACTTGTCTCAGCCAATAATTATGAAAAACAGAAGGAGAAAGGATTACTAAAGGGAAATCTGATTTCAGTCTGCTAAAAGTCTCTCTCTACCATTAAAAGCAGTCATTTCCTTGGAAAAAATTATAGTCTGTGGGCTGTGTTAATGCTCCTGGATTCCATTATTCAATGAGCGCCTTGCTGTGGCCACAAGTTTTGTGTAATTAAAGTAATAATTGATGTTCGATGGGGAGCAAGCCTTGGTAGGTATAGATTGAAACTTTCAGTGATAAAAAGGGTGTGTTAGGTAACTTGGTGACTCTTGATTTCTGCTATGGTTCCAGATATCTGGACAGATGTCCCCTGCATTTTGCATGTCCTGCACCCCTGGGGATTCTGACTGGCAACGTGGGGTGGTGATGGGAGGAGATGAATGTGGACTATGAGGAGGGTGGTGCCAGGTAATGGAAAGCCTGTTTCCCACCCCACAGGTGCCTTTTTCATCCCCTACCTCATCTTCCTCTTTACCTGTGGCATTCCTGTCTTCCTCTTGGAGACAGCACTGGGCCAGTACACTAGCCAGGGAGGCATCACAGCCTGGAGGAAGATTTGCCCCATCTTTGAGGGTGAGTAGCCCTGTGCCTGATTCCAGGATATCTGCATACATGGTTATAAACCTTATTTGGAATGACTGGATTTAGTAGCCGTGCTACTAACTTGGGGTATATTAGAAATCTGCCAAGTAGGTCATGGAAATCTTGGGTCAAAGATCAGAGTGAGAATTCATCAGAATGGCAAGCAAAATGTCACAGACTTAAAGACTTTGTGTCTTTATGTTAAACCCCCCACTTGTGGATTTAGGGCTGAGCTAATCCCTTGGTCTCTGAGAGAATGGAGAAGATGGGGGTGAAGAAGGGAAAAAAGGCTTTAGATTAAATAAGTAGAGTGCAAAGCTATCTTAGCTATGTAGTTTACACATGCATAACAATGATTTTGTATTTTTCAAAGCATATTTAATTAATTACAAAACAAATAAAGAGAATTTTAAATGGCAAAAAATATTAATAATTCTACTGTCTTGACACAATTGCTATTTAGACTTGAGGGTGTTTAATTTCAATATTTCTCTTTCTATATGATTTTCTTTAAGTGTCTATTTTGAAATAATATATAGTCACAGAAAGTTGCAAAAATAGTATGGGGAGGTCATATGTACCCTTCACCCAACTTTCCCCAGATGTTAAGATGTTACTTAACTATTAAAAAATATCAGGACCTGGAAGTTAACATTGGTACTATCCACAGACCTTATTCAGATTTCCCCAATTTTCCAAGCACTCATTTATGTGTGTGTGTGTGTGTGTGTGTGTGTGTGTGTGTGCGTGTGTATAATTCTGTGTTATCTTATCACATACGTAGATTTGTGTGACCATCACTACAATCAATATACATACTCTTTTATCACAAAGATCTCTGTCATGCTACTCCTATGTAGTTACACCTACCCTGCCCCATCCTTAGCCCCTGGCAACCACTAATTTGTTCTCTATATCTATAATTTTGTCATTTGGGGAATGTTATATAAATAGAATTGTGCAGCCTATAGTCTTTTGAGATTAGCTTTTTTACTCAGCATGATGCCCTTGAGATCCATCCCAGTTCTTGTATAAAGAGTTCGTTTATTCTTTTTTAATGCTGAATAGTATTCCATGGTATGGATGTACCACAGTTCATTTAACCATCACCCACTGAAGAACATTTGTGTTGTTTCCAGTTTGGGGGGTTTATTTCATTCTTTCTGTCTCTCTGAATAGAGCTAACATATCTGTTAATCTGGAACATACCCGGTTTATGTTTCCACTTTTCAGTTTTTCCATCCTCTACCCAACAATTATTTTATTTTATTTTATTTTATTTTATTTATTTTATTTTATTATTTTAGAGAGAGAAAACACATGAGTGAGGGAGACAGGGAGAGGTTGAGAGAGAGAGAGAGAGAGAGAGAGAGAGAGAATATGAAAGCAGGCTCCACGCTCAGCATGAAGCCTGATGCAGGGCTTGATATCACAACCCTGGAATCATGACTTGTGCTGAAACCAAGAATCAGACATTCAATCAACTGAGCCACCCAGACGCCCCAACACAATAATAATTTAATGATTGCATAAACTTCAGTTGAGTGGGTATATCATAATTAACAGTTCTCTGTTTGGGGCTTTTTAATTATTTTCAATTACTTATAACATTTTTATATTCGGCTATCATGTGTATTTGTTGAGATAGCTTTCTGCCTCTTTTTGGGGAATTATTTCTTTGGGATAAATTTCCAGGATGAGGATTGCTGGATCAAATGGACAATCAAGTTGATGTCCCTTGGTCTAGCTTATTAAATTGTTCTATGGAAATGTTATATTGACTTGCCATGTCATTAGATATGAGTAAGTATCTTTCCCCCTTATCTTTAATGACTCCAAGGTATTTGTGGTTCCCAAACTTGTCTGCAAGTTGGAATCACCTGGGGATCTTCAAAACATCCTGAGGCCTGTATCCCATCCCCAGAGATCGTGATTTAATTGGTCTGGAGTCTGGTCTAGACTTTGAAATTTTAAAAATATTCTCAGGTATTTCTAATATTTGGACAAATTTGGAAATCACTGAGTTACATCATTTGTAACAAATTTCATTACATCTGGCTATACAGAAAGGTACCTCATCATTGTTTCCTTTTGCATACCTGCAATTATTAGGAAAGATCTATTTGTATTTCTTCTTATGTGAATTGTCTATTCCTGCTCTTTTTTTTTTTTCCCAAGTAGGCTCTACACTCAATGTGGGGCTTGAACTCATGACCCTGAGATCAAGAGTCTCATGGTCTATGAGCTGAGCTCAGCCAGATGCCCCTGTTTCTGCTCTTAACATGTGTTTTTATATTTCAGAAATATATCAGCCTAATTCCAGGGAACATTAACTATTGAAAATCAGGGAATTCTCAGAACCGGTAAAGAAGAAAATTCACAGGAATCCAGGGCACAGCAATGGAAGGCAGAAAGAAAAGTCTCTCCTCACCTGCTGGGGAGATTGAGGAGAGAGTCAATGAGCCTGGACCCAGCAATGTTTAAGGGCTCTGACAGTGGAGTACAAACCCCCTCCGAAACTGGGAGGGGTGGCTTATGAGAAATCTGTCCACTGTCCTTAGCCCAATTCTGCAGTTTTCCCCTCCAGGCATCGGCTATGCCTCCCAGATGATTGTCATCCTCCTCAACATCTACTACATCATTGTCCTGGCCTGGGCCCTCTTCTACCTCTTTAGCAGCTTCACCATCGACCTTCCCTGGGGAAGCTGCCACCATGAGTGGAACACAGGTAAGGTCATCTCTAGAGAGTCCATTTCTAAACACCACATTAGCCAAGACCGAGATTATCCTTATGTCCTGAGTATCCCCAACCGTAACTTGGCACACACTAGAAGTCTGCCAAGTAGGTCATGGAAATCTTGGATCAGAAGTCAGAGTGAGAATTCACCAGCATCACAGGAAAAATGTCACAGACTTAAAAAAAAATTGTGTGTCAACTATACTCAAATTAAAAAAATGATAATGGGGGCACCTGGGTGGCTCAGTTGGTTAAGCGTCTGACTTCGGCTCAGGTCATGATCTTGCGGTTCGTGAGTTCGAGCCCTGCGTCAGGCTCTGTGCTTACGCCTTGGAGCCTGGAGCCTGCTTTGGATTCTGTGTCTCCCTCTCTCTCTGCCCCTCCCCTGCTCATGCTCTGTCTCTCTCTGTCTCTAAAAAATAAATGTTAAAAAAATTTTTTTAAAAATAATGCATTCAACTCATGTATTATGAAAGCATGTGTTATGCAAATAGAATTGATTCCTTTCTATGTAGTTTAGCCATTTACTTATTTCAATTTGAAGTATGATTACTTAGGTGTATATATGTATTGTTTGTCCATTAGTTTTCTTTCTCATGGCTTCTTTCTGATACTATCCTAGGTCTTTCTAACTCACAGGTCATCTGGACTTAACCAGAGAATAAACTGTTTTGTATGTCTTCATTACAATTTGTAGTAACAATTAATTTCTCCTGTGCTTATAAGATTGCATGTGACTCTCTCGTAAGACAACAGGAACCACCTATGGCCATAGAACTGCTGAGTCTATTTGACTGAAAGTAACAACAATTAAAAATCCCTAGTGCCGTCCAAGAGAACTTATCGGTGATAATGACAGTGTTCTCTGTACTATCCAGCGTGGTGGGTGCTAGCTACTTGCGGTTATTGAGGACTTGAAATGTGCCTAGTGTGTGTGAGGAACCAAATTTTAAAACTTGTATTTAATTTTAATGAGCTTAAACGCGAACATCCACATGTAGCTGGAAAATACCCTATTGGACAGCACAGATGGAGAGCTGTCCTGCTTGGACCCTCAGCACTACAACTCTCAGTGCTGATCCGTCACCAAGGCCCTATATGTGCCATGATTAATTTTTTGTTGTTATTCAGGTAAGGTAGTCAGTTCTGAACTGGAGTCTGAGTCTTTTTCTTGCCAGGGAGGCACATTTTGCAATGTTTAGCAAGGCCCCTCTTGTCCTCAAACTTTTGATCCCTTCCTAGGCATTCTTTTGCTGATCTCTGCCACCTTCATTCCACCATTTTGCAAGTGAAGAGTCAAATCTTGGAGCTTCCTCCCCTGGTACCCCAAGATTCAATAGGTTTCCTTTCTTCTTGGCCTTTAAAGTTAATTTATTTTTGAGAGAGAGAGACAGCAAGCGAGGAAGGGGCAGAGCAAGGAGGGGCTTGAGTGAATCCAAGCAGGCTCTATGCTGTGAGTGCAGACCCAGACACCAGGCTCGAACTCATGAACCATGAGATCATGACCTGAGTGGAAATCAAGAGTTGGCTACCCAACCGACTGAGCCACGCAGGCACCCCGTGTTCTTAAATACATGTAGTATTACCTGCACTGAGCCCTGACTCTACTGTGGCACTTGCCTTACTTTTGGGCTGTTGGTCTGGTTTTCCCACAGGTCAGTAAGATCTTGAGGACAGAAAAGGTATCTTTATCTCTGTATCCTTTGTGACTAGCACAGTGCTGCCTACCTCATAAGCACTTGAAAAAATATTCGTCAGATCACTCCAATTTTATTTTATTTTTTAAAGTTTATTTACTTATTTTGAGAGAGAGAGAGAGAGAGAGAGAGAGAGAGAGAGAGAGAGAGTGAGGTAGGGGCAGATAGAGAAGGAGAGAATCCCAAGCAGGCTCCAAATTCTCAGTGCAGAGCCTGATGTGGGGCTCAAACTCACAAATGGCAAGATCATGACCTGAGCTGAAATCAAGAGCTGGACCCTTAACCAAATGAGCCACCCAGGTGGCCGGATGAGTCCAATTTTAAAAACCTTTTTTATTCTAATATCTTCTTTATCATATATTTTTTCTTTCTTTCTTCCCTCCTCCCTTCTTTCCTTCAACCCTCATTCATTCATTCATTCATATATTCTAATGATGCTGAAATCACCCTTGACAACCAGCTTGTCAGACAGTGATTTGATCCAGATTTCAGGGGAGTTCCTTTTGTAAAAATGTTGCAAATTTTTGGTGGCCTAGGGCTTTTGCTTCAGGGCACTTTTAGGCCTATATACCTTTGGGTTGACTGGAGGATCTCTGAGACAATTCTGAGGAAAATTCAATTCCTGAGCCTTTTGCTTGGCATTTTTGACATTTCTCCTAGTGAGTCTGGTTTTACTCAGAGCCTAGCGTCTTTCATATACAGAACATCTTGTCCTTTCAAGATGAAACAATACTTTTCTGGGTGTGCAGAAGCTTCAAGGAGAGAGAAAGGGTTTAGTGAAAAGAATGCCTGATTTACATTCATTCAACAGATATTTAATAGAGCTCCTACTATGTGCCAGGCTCTGTTCTAAGCAGTGGGGTTACGAAAATGCACAAAAACAAAGCTCCCTGCCCTCATGGAATTTTTGTTCTAGTGGCAAGACACATACCATAAACAAAATAAATGATTAATATGTATTATGTTCAAAGAAATGCTAGGGAGAAAAGTAAAACAGGGAGAAAGGATTGGGAGTTTTAGGGGTGGGAGTTGTCATTTTAAATAGAGTCATGGGGTGCCTGGGTGGCGCAGTCGGTTAAGCGTCCGACTTCAGCCAGGTCACGATCTCGCGGTCCGTGAGTTCGGGCCCCGCGTCGGGCTCTGGGCTGGTGGCTCGGAGCCTGGAGCCTGTTTCCGATTCTGTGTCTCCCTCTCTCTCTGCCCCTCCCCCGTTCATGCTCTGTCTCTCTCTGTCCCAAAAATAAATAAAAACGTGGAAAAAAAATTAAAAAAAAAATAGAGTCATCAGGGAAGGTCATACTGAGAGGACATAGGACTAATGCTCTGAAGGAGGTGGGGGAATCAGCCACTCAGATTTCAGGGGCAAACACTAGGTAGAAGGACCAACCAGTGCAAAGGCCCTGAGGTGGCCCTGTGCCTATAGCATCCAGGGAACAGCAAGGGGGTCGGTGTAGCTGGAGCATTTGACTGGGGGAGAACTGGGAAAGGAGGACAGAAGTGATGGAGGTAGATTGAAAAGGGCCTTGGAGGCAATTATAGGGGTTATAGCTTTTTTCTCTGTATGGGATGAGAAGCTCATTGGAGAGCTTTAAAGTGAGACATGACATAAAGCCACTTAAATTTTAACAAAATCATTCTGGCTGCTGTGTGGAGATTTGGCTAAGGAGGTAGGAGTAGAAACTGAAGGCCAGTCTAGGAGCCAGGGAAGGATGAAAACCTGCAGGGTTTTCATAGGGTGCTGGTAGTGGTAATGAAAAAGGTCAGATTCTAGGTAAGATTTTGATAGTAAAACATATAATTTGCTGAGCTGGATTCTAGCCCTTGCTTCGTCATTTATGAGCTGGAACCGGCCATTTCTAAGAAGATTCACTTTCTTCATGTGTATGATGGGGAAACACTATCTATCTTAATATCTCTAGGATTATTATACTAACACAATGTATAAAAGAATGTGAGCCCCATTGTGAAACTCCAGTGTCAGATGCAGATAGTTAAGAACCACGACTTACTGGGCACTTTGCACTCATATTTTCATTTAGTCCCCTGTCAATCCCACAACTGGATGTCACTACATGCATTCTAGAATTGAGGGAAGCGAAGTTAGAGAGCCACACGGCAAATAACCAGAGGGTCAGGATTCAAGCCAGAACTTTCTGACTTGTGTCTGTGCTCTTGGCCACTCTGCTCCATCTTTTCCCTAGAAAGCACTTTTATGATCCCTCAAAGGTTGTGACTTTACACAAGACAGTGACCTAGAAATATTTGTATACTTTGAAGAAGATGTCATGTGGAATATCTTTCCTGATGCCATCGATCATGCTTTAGTAAGAATATGTACCCAAACATTTAGAAGCCCACACGTACAGTCCTGTGGGGGAAGGTGAAGTAAGCTTGTTGAGTTCATCTTGTGTTCGAGGATGTTTTGTTTGGACAACTTCAGCCTGGTTCATTCCAAGACCTTACCTTCCTCATGACTCTCTCTAGTCATGCCAAATATTCAATGATCTTTTTCTTTCTTCCTTCCCTGGGACCCACGGGTAGACTCCTGTGTAGAGTTCCAGAGGACCAATGGCTCCCTGAATGTGACCTCTGAGAATGCCACGTCTCCTGTCATCGAGTTCTGGGAGTAAGTGAGGCCCCTCTCCCCATCCCAGTGTGGGTTGTGTTCAAAAGAAGGGCACAGGGATGGGCTCATGCAGGGCTGACCCTCAGGGGACCGCAAGAGAAGAATTTCCACGTCCTTCTTTGGTGGCCTAAGTGGTCACCTAAGTGGCCTTTTTTCTGGTGTGCTTGTATTTGTGGTTAATGCAGAACTGGTTTCAGAGATGAGAATTTTGCAACTCTCCTCAGGCTGTGCTTGCCTCTCCTCTCCCATGCACCCATGTGCATGTTAGCACACATGCATGTGTGTGCACACTCCCAACCCCTCCTCCCTTCTGCTGCATGCATATTGCCTCTTAGCCCCCCTCCCTAATGTTGATAATGACCTAGGACATGATTCCTAATATCAAAACATCCTGAAACCCTGGTTGAGAAGATGTGTGTTTGCACCTCCCTCTCTAGGTTAAATTGGTACTCAGCCTCCCAGAGCAAACTTACCTGGGAACAGTTTATATTTGCCTCCCTTTATATCTACCCCCATCTCTGGGCAAAGGAGAGCCTCATGGATCTGAGTGAAAAGAGCTGACAAGCCTTTGGACAAGAGCCTGGAGGCATGGCTCCACTGCCTGAGACACACGGGCTACAAAACTGAGGCTGGCAGCAAAAGTGGAGCCCGGCTCAACCTTCTCTCCCCAGGAGGCGGGTCCTGAAGATCTCTGATGGCATCCAACACCTGGGGGCCCTGCGTTGGGAGCTGGCCTTATGCCTCCTGCTCGCCTGGGTCATCTGCTACTTCTGCATCTGGAAGGGGGTCAAGTCCACGGGCAAGGTCCGTGCTGGAGAGCTCCTGGCCCCTCTCATCCCAGGACTCCCTGTCCTCCCTGGGGGCCTGGTCACCCAGGAGTTCTCCTAAGCTGTAACCTGGTCAGGGATGGGAGGGAATGATCTCGCCAAAATTTTGTGTGGCTCCCTTCCTTGATTCTGTGTCTCTCCTTGATTCAATCCTGTGGACTCTGGTACATGGGGAAATGGAGTGGAAAGGAGGGGGAGAGGAAGGCAGGAAGGACACTTCCAGATCTGTGGAATGTGATCTTGCAATACACCATGTGTGGGGGCACATTGCAAACTGGATACAGTTCGTGGCTCTTGTTTCACCCAACAGTTCTTGGGAGAAAGAATCTGCCCGAGACTGTTAATCTCAAAACGATTCTCAACCACCCTGAGAACCTGGGTTGGGGGGCACTCTTTGCCTTGGGTGTACAAGGTATGAGAGGGCTTTCTGAGTTCTTCTGGACTCTTGCCCTGGAGGCCTCCAACAAGGCTTCCTTCGTAATCTGGCTGCCCGGGTGTGCTAAGCTCGTAAGCTCTGTGAGGACAGGGATCATGTGTTACAGAGTTTTCATACCTGACAACCCTTGCCGTAATTCTAAGCACACTTGGTGGGAGAATGCCTGAGTTCATTCAGTCACTCGACAAGTATTTACTGGGTATGTGTCAGGAGGAGGGTGGGTACTTTAAGTGGGAGGGAGAAAGGGATAAGGGAGGTTGCGGCTTACGGCAGAGGGCAGATGGAGTTGAACAGCTGCAAGGGTTGGGTGGGGGAGGAGAGAAACTCTCTTGACCTCTTCTGTGAGTGTGGGGGAGCTCCGGCCTCCTGACTCTGCTGCTGGATCGCCAGGTCCTTCCTTCCAAACTCACAGGTTCCTTGTGTTTCATCTGCCCTCTGGCCAGGTGGTGTACTTCACAGCCACATTCCCTTACCTCATGCTGGTGGTCCTGTTAATTCGAGGGGTGACGCTGCCTGGGGCAGCCCAAGGAATTCAGTTTTACCTGTACCCAAACCTCACGCGTCTGTGGGATCCCCAGGTAAGAAGCCACAGACAAGGGCCATCACGTGGCCCTGGAGGCTGTTTCCGTGCACTGTGGTCCGGAATCCCTGCTCCCGGCCCAAACCCCAAGGCATCCATGGTGGTGGCGTAGGGGGGCTCCAGACATGTGTCAGCAGCTGTTTGTGGTCCCTGCTTGACTCACACCTCTCAGGGCTGCCTGAGACGTGTCCCTCGGGGCCTTTTACTCACAGGTGGCGGCCCTTTCCCCACCGTCTACCCCGTCCCCTTTTTGCACTTTTTTTTCTCTTGGTGATCTTTCACACTGAGCTTCCTCTCTATTTCTTCACCCTCCACCAGCTCCTCTGGTTCCCTCCCGTAGCCACGTGGCCCATTCTGAGGTGTCCCGGGCCCCTCCCAGCCAGCTGGGCTGGTATTGAGTTTCCTGTCAGTTGTCAAGAGGCCCCTGCCTCTTCCCTCCCCTTTGGCCCTTCCTTTGTGCCCACACTCTGTCTGCTTCAGCCAGCTTCCTCGTGGCTTGGCGCAGGGAGGGGGGTGGTGCTGCTTGCTGACTGGAGGGGTTTGTAAAGCAGGGCCTGAAATAAGAAGCCACTGCCTCTGACGGGTTTCTTATCTTCTCATGTTTGGCAGCCATTTTGAAAGCTGGCAAAGCCAGGAGGTGTCGAGGGCCGGAGGGGAGCGTGGGTAAGCTCCACCCCAGAGCCCCTAAAATGTGTTGCCCAGCTACGTGCCCCGCCTCTGCCTCCCTGGCACGGAGGTCGCCCTCCCTGGGGAGCATGTACAATTTAGAGATCCTCCCCTTGGGTCCTGGAGGAGTTCTCTGAGTTTGGAAAGGGGCCCTGAGGAGACATAGGGCGGGAGGCTCCCAGCACAAAAAAGACTAACCGTTGGATGGCTTTGCAAACATCATAAATAATGCGGTACCAGCACATTCCCTGAAACTGCCCAGGGGGAATAAGAGCAAAGGGAGCGGCACACAGTTCCACACTTTCCTCTGGGGCTGGGTGCTCAGCCCATGCAGAAGCAATGGGTCCCCATGATACAGAATTTTGGGTGATCCAGCAGCTGAATTTTTCTTAGGCCTTCCAGCCACCCCAGCCGAGTTAAGTTCTCCCATCCCAAGTTCTACCGGGCCTGCTGTGGCTCCCAGAAGTAGCCAGAGCACTTGCATTCAAAACCTCCCCCAGGGAATCCATAGCCTTGCATCCTAGGTATTGCTCAGTGACCTGGGGGGATTTGGGCTTATCCCACCCTCCCCCATTTCTTAAACATAGTGGAGGTGCAGATTGCTGTGGCGTCAGCTCCATGTGACGCACAAAGGCTGTAGTCAGGCTTTGGAACAAACCATAAAACTGTAGGTGTTGGCGCTAAAAGGACCCCAGAGATCATCTAGTGCAAACTCCTCATTGAACAGATGAGCAAACAAGGCCCAAGGTCACACAGCAAGTAAGTGGCTGGCCAAACAAAGTGTATTTTTATTTTGTGAATCATAAGCACTTTGACTTATCTGGGACCAAAGTGTTGTGGTGGAGAGTCCACAGCGAACAGGAGGTCATGGGGGCAGAGTTGAAGGACAGCTTTGAAGGCCAAGGGTAGACTCTGGCTTGGGTCTGTTGTGCAGGAGAGCTCCGTTGTCGTTCTGGAGCAGCAGAGGTGTGAACCAGTCGTGAAACCGCACAGTCTGCCTTTGTTGGGAGGTCAGGGTGGGAAGGAAGGGCTGTGTTCAGGCGGGGAGACAGGCAGGTAGGCTGACACAGAACTAGGAGAGAGGGGTCTGGGATTTCTGGAATGGATTTATGGCTTCTGTGATCAGTGCCTCATTTGTCCTGATCAGCTATTTATAGCCAACAACTATTGAGTGCTAACTATATCCCTGTCATTGTTAAGAGGCTTACATCCATTATTATAGCTTATCCTCACAACAGATCAATGAAGTATCCTCATTTCATAGATAGGAAATGAAGGCTTAGAGAGTTTAATGAATTTTCCATCTTCATGTCTGCAACTGGAAGCTGGGCCTGAACGCTGACAAATCCCATATACTTTATGATCTCTCTTTTAAAAAAAAATTGTTAATGTTTATTTATTTTTGAGAGAGACAGAGTGCAAGCAAGGGAGGGGCAGAGAGAGAGGGGGACACAGAATCCAAAGTGGGCTCCAGGCTCCAAGCTGTCATCACAGAGTGGGGCTAGAACCCACAAACTGCGAGATCATGACCTGAGCGGAAGTCATACGCTTAACCGACTGAGCCACCCAGGTGCCCCTACTTTAGGATCTCTTGAAAGCAAAGTCCCGTCTGCACATCTTGGTTTTTCTCACAGCTCATTCATTCAGCAAAAATTTCTTGAGCATTCATTATGCAGCAGGTCTGTTCTAGGTGTAGCGTTTGTTGTAGAGTAGCTTCTAGCAAACATGAAGAAGGTGGACCAGATAGCCTTCAACTCTGAGCGTTAATAAAGTCACGACTCCGGGTCTGGGTTACCGCAGGGAATAAAACCTCTTTTAATCTGCCTCTGGGATATTACCCTTCCAACCCCAGCCAGCTGTAGGCTGTGCAGATAGCATGTGTCTTCCTGGCCCTCTGAAGCCATGAGGAAGGAGATGTTTCAAGAGCCAGGCTTGGTCTGGGCTTCCCAGCAGCCTCACTGGCAGCCAGGTCCTGGTCTCATGCTGCAGGAAGCCTTTGTTGTCAGCGAACAGAGCAGCGGCCTGCAGGTGTGATGCTCCTGCCAGAGCCCTAATTGAATGTAGTTGGCACTCCCCAGGAAGTGCGATAATTCCAACTGGCATTTGCCTGGCACTTGAGAACGGTGCAAAATTCCTGCTAGCCAACACAAAGACCAAAGACATCTCTCTCTGCCAAGCAGTTGGTCTGGGAGTGGGGAGACAGGCAGAGACAATGCTGGGTTGATCTGGCTTTCTCCTCTCTTTCTGCCAGGCTTGCTGTGTGTCAGGCAGGTCACGGACTCTCTTCGTGTTCCCTGGGGCTCGTCTCTTTCACATTGAGGAGTGGATCCTGGAAACTCAGGACTCTACTGGGCGCTTGTTTCTTTCCCTCGCCTGGCCCTCTGTCCTGCTGCACTTCCATAGATGGATGGGGCAGCAGGCTGAGGGTACAGTGTCCAAAGAGCCCTTGTGGAGCCTTTTAAAGCCCTATGTTAAGCTATTCTAATGAAGGGTCTGTTAAGGGAAGAGGTTGGGTCCATTGATTAGAACGAGTCTTTTTATTTTGACATCGTACATTGAGATCTATGGGACCTCATCATTACTGAAAGGCGAGTTGCCTTTTTAAAATAACAACAACAACAACAACAACAACAACAACAAACAGCAGCAACAGCTAATACATTTATTATGTGCTTACTGTTTGCCAGGCACGTAACTGGTTACATGACACGGTGGTCCCCACACAACCCTGCGAGTTTGCCGTTAGCTTCATTTTGCTAAAGAAGAAATGGAAGCTAAGAAAACTTAACAAATTTGTCCTAACCCACAAAACTAGTGCATGGGGGAGCCTGGGTTTCATTCCAGGTACTCTAGAAGTCTGCTGTGTTGATGACCATGATATAAATCATCCAAAGAATATGAATTTGAGAGTTTTAAGGGATGCTTTTATTATTCCAGAAGGTGGGATAGGGAACTAATATTTATGTGTTAAGTATTTCATATATATTATTTTATTTGTTGTTATACCCATTGCCCTGATGAGAAAAGCAAGGTTCAGGGAGGTTAAGTGACTTGCCCAAGATCACATAGCTAGTAATGAATAGAGTTAAGAATTGAACCCAGTTCAATTTGACTCCAAAGCCCAGGCTTTTTCCATTGCACACTATTGCCGTCCTAAAAATACTGAATATAATAGTCCTTGGGATTGAACTCAAAGTTGGAAACGTCTCTCCTGGATCTTCTAGAGGTCTCTGTCTTTCTCTGCTCCCCCAAAGACCTCTTTTTTGCCCACATTCCACCAGGTGTTTTTCACACTTGTCTTATTCTCGACCAGACCTCTATTTCAACCAAAGACACACTGGGGTTTTGCTTTAGAAGCCAGGGCTGCTGGCGTGGTCAGGGAGCGGGTCGCCTGTGGCGGGGAACAGGACAGCTTGCTCTGCTTGTCCCTGTGGCCCTTCCTCTGACCCCACTGCTCTCTCCATCCCAGCAGGCCTGTCAGGCTGCAGCTGGGCCAAGAGCAGGGGGCTTGCCAAGCTCCCCAGGAGGGGGCTTTTGTCAGAGGCACCGGGTCTGCCCCTTGCCCTCCGAACTCTCAGACCTCCTGCTGCATTTTTTTCTGTGTTCTCATTAACCTCTGTTCCCACCCCAGTCTTAGTCTGTCCTCCTCAGGGCAGGGTGAACTGCCAAGGCACAATTTTTCTTATTTTTTTCTTCCCGAACCCAAGTTCGTGAAACCTCATCACCATGGGATCCTGCAGCCCGTGCCTGTGTGTGGGCAGCTGCAGAATGTCTCTGAGGGCACTGGAGGGTTTCCCTGGTAACTTGTGGGTCAGTCTGCACCCTGTGCACTGCCAGGCACAGGGAACAAACTTGGAAGATCTGACACTGGGCAGGCTCTCGGGCCATATCCTGGATGACCTGATGGGGAGAGATCGCGGGGGTCCGTGGCTGTGAGCCCCCGGGTAGATCAGGGCGTCTCCCAGCCCTCCATGTCTGTGCCTGGGTCAGGCCTCTCCCCACAGGCTCAGAGCCTCTTGCTGCAAGGCGCTGCGAATGACCTGCTGAGTGAACAGGAACGAAATAGAACAGAGCGACCTCCGGTCACTGAGTTTTCCTGCAGTGACCATTCTCACAGGCTCTGTGGGGGCACTTTTAGAAGAAAAAGCTTTGAGACATCTCAAAGGAGCAAATGGAGGACCCAAGGCACCCCCTCAAATGTCCGTGGCATCACACCGAATTTTGTGAGCCCCTCCTTCTCGTCCTCAGTTTCATTCCTAACTTTTCCTTCTCTAGCTTCTGAAATAAATCCCGAAACTGCCCCTCCTTTTCCCATTATAATTTGCTGTCAGGTTTAAAAAAGTTTTCCTGGTGTTTCCATCTTTGTGTGCTATTTCCTTGTTAGCCAGGGACCCTTCTGGATCTTCGACTGTGCCGCTTGCTGCTGACGCCTTTTCCCTGGTGGCAACTCCCACCTCGCGGAATACCTTGGGGACAGGGTTCACAGCGAGCAGAAGGGGCAGGAGACTGGAGATGGTCTCCCTTTTTCTTCACCAGCTTTCCCTGTGCTGTCCTGCTTCCCACAGAAATGGGACTATAACCAGAGGACTGAGTGCCCTGGATGGGTCCCTGATGCCAGTTCTCAGGGGCAGTGATTCCCACATCTGGCTGACATTAGGATCATTCAGGAAGCTCTGAAAATAATACAGATTTCTGAGTGCTCCTTCAGTCCTAGAGATCCAATATCTCAACTGGGGCTTGCCAAGGGGTCCCTGAGACCCACCACAATGCTGAGGAAAATGGGCACTTGGGTGAGGGTGAGTGTGACCAGAAAGCAAGGGAGGTTGGGGGCCGCGGAGATGGTTAGTGAGGCAGGGAGAGGTAGGTGAGGGACTGAGGAGCTTTGGACAGACAGAAGCTGAGGTTCTGGTGGATGTGGGCATTGGGAGCTTGACATGGAGGTAAGGAGAGCAGGGGCCTACTTGGGAGCTGCTAGGGCAGGGCTGGGCAGAGACCAGAAATGGCGAACACAGAGATGGTAGGACACCTGCCTGGTGATTTCTGCGCCCGTAGCTTAGTGCTCCTTTGTGGTGCTCACATCCTCTGAAGACGGGAGGTGCCTGGGGAGGGTCTGTGGCCCCAGGACCCCACCTCCTGCAGATCTGCAGAGTTGCCTAGTTCTGTTCGCCTTGATGTTCTTTCTCTTTGGGATGTTATTGTAGCTGTTGAATCTAAATCATAACATGCCGGGGCTGGGTCAGCCAGCTGAGACAACAGTAACAACCATGCCTTATGTTTAGCCACAGAGCTCCTTCCCACCCCCACCCCCCACCCCCCACCCCCCACCCCCCCCACCGAGGAGTACAAAGCCCTTACAGATGCATTTCTATTCATCCTCTTGACTTGGTCAGCTGCGGACTACTTTCTGTTTTTCAGATAGCAGATTTTGAGGCACACAGGGGCAAAGCCATATCTCATGTTGGCATTGATATTAAGGGCCTATATCTGTCCTTGGATTCCTTCTGAACTGGTCACACTGCCAGGAGGGGCGAGGATAGGGGGGAAGTGCAGGCAGAACCCAGGGCTGTATTTCTGTTATACAAAAGTTGGTGCTGGGTCTAGCCTAGTCCTAGGGCTCCCTCCCAGCCTCCTCCATTAAGGGTCCATTAGTCTTTTCCAATGCCCAATGCCCACGCCATCCTGGTAGTGCCCAAGAAACTCCATCTAGGGGCCCAGGAAGTAGAGCCCATTGGGACAGCAGGGTCACAGGCTGAGAGCAGGGTTCTCACCATTGCTAGCCGGTGTCTGGCTCAACCATGGGCCTGTGTGCCCCCATGGAGCCCAGATGGCCTGGCTCTCCTGGAGTGCAACTTTCTTGCCTTTTCCCCGTGTAGGTATGGATGGACGCAGGCACCCAGATTTTCTTCTCCTTCGCCATCTGTCTAGGGTGCCTGACAGCCCTGGGCAGCTACAACAAGTACCACAACAACTGCTACAGGTGACTGGGGGCAGTGGGGCCCAGGCCACCAATCTGCCTCTCTCAACTGCCCCCCTCCAGCATGCTAGATCAAGGGTGATTTGGAGGGTGCACCAGCTCATGGATTCACCTTCCCCCTACTCGTCTTCACCCCATTTTCCAATGCCCCAGGGCCACAAGTTGCTGAAAGGAGCCAACTGCAGCACAGGCAGGGGGATTGCTTCCAAAGGCTGGGATAGTTGCAGTTGGCTGGGAAACCACAGTGAGGGCCCAACCCTCCGGCTAACGGAGAGGTTGGTGGGCTGAAGCCTAAGGAGTAATTCATCATATACAGTGGAACCTTGGCCTGACCTGCTTTGTACATTTGCCCCAACAAACACTGAATCCTTACCTATTTTTACCTCACTGCTCCCCTTCCCATGTCCCCCTCCCTCTGGTTCCCTACTTGGTTCATATCAGAGCATTCAAGCTAATTTCAATCTTAGCTAAAAAAAAAAAAAAAAAAATCATGTCATGAATTACGAAATCAAATTTGGGGGATGGGAGTTATTTGTTGCTTGGGATTGTCTATGTCCATACCCTCCATATTAGTACGCCAAACTGAATTGTGTCCGAGTGGTAGCGTCCCAAGCGGTGTGGTGGCCATATGGCAGGGAGGGGAGGCCGTGTGGCAGTTTGTAGTTTTTAGACTAGCATTTTACTTCCTTAGAGCCTTATTCTTTCATGACTACCTTGACTGACTCCAAGTCTCAGCTAATGGAGTGGGCAGGGGGAGAGCAGAAGCTAATCCTGGCGGGCAGCCCCTCTTTGGCCTGCGTGAAGGGCTGGGGTGAGTGTCTGCCTGTCTGAGGGGCAGTGCTCCCAGTTCCTGTTGGCAACCCCTCTCTGACCCTGCCTGTCTCCGCCTTCCCACCTGCCCCACAGGGACTGCATCGCCCTCTGCTTCCTCAACAGCGGCACCAGCTTTGTGGCCGGATTTGCCATCTTCTCTGTCCTGGGCTTCATGTCTCAGGAGCAAGGGGTGCCCATCTCTGAGGTGGCCGAGTCTGGTGAGTGTTGTGGGGAAGGGTGCCAGGGGCGGCTTCTGTGAGTTTTGCTTGAACCTTTGCCAAGCGGGATCTGTACACGTTTCTATTGTCGCCAACACTGGGGGTGAGCCATAGTCATCTTTCGGTGGACGTGTCCTGGGAAGACCTGGGGAGCACCCTGACCCCAGCTTCAAAGGGTAGAGGCATAGACAGTGAGCATTTCCCACAGCTGGCCTCCACGTCCTTGCCCTGGAGGCAACCAAGGTGATGAGGTTCATGTTTCTCCTTCCAGAAACAGTTTAGGCATATATGAGTAAAAAGTGCGCACGCACACACACACACACACACACACACACACACACACAAACATTCATACATGCCTAGCACATATTACTACTGCTATTTCTTACTCCCTTCAAAAAGCTAACTGATAATATACTATATACACTGTTCTGGGCTTTTTGTTTTACTCACTTTACCTTTTTTTTATTTTTTTATTTATTTTATTTATTTTATTTTTTTAATTTTTTTTTTCAACATTTATTTATTTTTGCGACAGAGAGAGACAGAGCATGAACGGGGGAGGGGCAGAGAGAGAGGGAGACACAGAATCGGAAACAGGCTCCAGGCTCTGAGCCATCAGCCCAGAGCCTGACGCGGGGCTCAAACTCACGGACCGTGAGATCGTGACCTGGCTGAAGTCGGACGCTTAACCGACTGCGCCACCCAGGCGCCCCCACTTTACCTTTTTTTAAGTTTATTTATTTATTTGGAGAGAGACAGAGACAGTGCAACGGAGGAGGGGCAGAGAGAGGGGGGGAGAGAATCCCAAGCAGGCTCCTCACTGTCAGCAGGGAGCACAGGGCTCGAACTCATGAACCATGAGATCATGACCTGAGTTGAAATCAGGAATTGGATGCATAACTGACTGAGCCACCCAGCTGCCCTTGTTTTGCTCATCTTAAACTGTATCTCGAAGATAAGTTTATGGTGGCACATAGTTTCCTCCTTTTCACCATGCAGTGCTATTGTTGCTTTTAAACAGAATCAAGGATTGGTCCCCTACCTGGGTAAGCTGTAAATGTCCCTTGCCCTTCCCCTACCCCTATTCTTGAGGGCCACCGTCGTGCACTCACTAGCAAGGCAGTGTTTTATAACGTTCCCACAGCACATCCTGTCACGCAGAGTACCAAGCACTGGGATCCCACTGAGTCTTATTAAAAATCATAGCGTTTCACTTTTATTAAACATTTACTAAATGCCAGGCACTGTGCGAAGCATTTTGCCCGCACCATGCAGTGGAAAGCTTTGAGGCAGGTGCTAGAATTATCTCCCTCTCACCAGTGTGTGACACTGGGTCAGCTGCACGAATGTACCTGGCCTGCCGACCCCTTGGCTCTTAAGTTTGAAACCTCTGGTTTGGGGCAAGAGATCCTGAGAGTGAGCCTGGGGATTCAGGGTGGAGCTTGCAGGAACGCAGGTGATATGCCTGCTTTCCATTTTCCAAAGCCCTTCACACTCACAGTGTCTAGGTTCCATCCCTGCCAGTGAGAATACAGCGGGTGGTGCCTTGGAAATTTGGGACCCAGGTAGAGGTTTAGGTGGCTTCTCCTGGGTGAGTTTGGGGGTGATGATGGTAACTTTGGGGTCCAGTTTCCTCTGGCTCCTGTGATTCCATGGCCCCCGCTGGGAAGCCTTGGGATCAAACACGGCCTGGAGCCAGCCCAGGCACTGCGCTGTGTTCCTCTGCTTCTTGCTGTAGGCCCTGGCCTGGCTTTCATCGCCTACCCCCGGGCTGTGGCGATGCTGCCCTTCTCTCCTCTCTGGGCTTGCTGCTTCTTCTTCATGGTCGTCCTCCTGGGACTGGACAGCCAGGTACCAAGAACTGGCCGAGCAGAGCCTGAGAGATGGGTGGGTGTGTGGGGGCTGGAGAAGGGGGAGCAGGGGAAACAAGGCTGAGCCTGATGTCCCGAGGGGCCTTAAAACAGCCTGGGGCTGGGCGAATGTCAGAAGTGGATGCTCTTCTAGGGACCAACAAGAGCTCTGAAGGGGAGGTCCAGACTTAAGTGTACAGGACAGCTTTGGGGACCTGAGACAGGGATGCTGCAGGGCTGACGCTGGGAGCCAGAAGCCAGAGCTAGTTGGTGCAGTGTGTTTTGGGAGCTCTCTTTCCCTCCAATTCTTTTGCCCTCTCATCCAGTTTGTGTGCGTAGAAAGCCTGGTGACGGCGCTGGTGGACATGTACCCCCGTGTATTCCGCAAGAAGAACCGGAGGGAGCTTCTCATTCTCAGCGTGTCTGTCGTCTCCTTCTTTGTTGGGCTGGTCATGCTCACAGAGGTGAGGGTCTGGGAGGCTTGGAGGTGCGGACCGGGTGAGGAGGAGAAGCCAAGCTGGACGCTGCCACCTGTCAGGCGGAGCAGGCTGTGTGGGTTCAGGTCGCGGGGCAGGCCTTCCGGGCTTCAGGGCCCTGGGACACCCTCCTTTCCCAGCCACAGGAAGCACAAAGCAGGCGGCACCTTCCTCTGGCCTTTGGACACTGGCCACCTACCTTTGGGGGTGGCCAAGGGGTCATTTGGCTCCAGGTAAGCTAAGAGGTGTGAAAAAGATGGTCAGAAAGTCCTGGATTAGGACTGCCTCTCCAGCAAGCTCCTGTGATTTCCCAGGCAACTGAACCAAGTTCCAGGCACAAACTTCAAAGGAAGAAAGGGAGCCCTGGGGAAGGGTGATATTTTCTGTTTTGTCTCAAGGGAGACGGAAGGAGATGGAGCTTGCCAGCTTGACAGTATCGAGGACAGCCCCTGTCCGAGCGTTTGCCAAAAAAGTACACGCTTTTTCTTAGACTTCCGGGTCAATCCCTAAATGTTCTCAGGGATGAGCTAACAGTAGCTGTCTATTTTAGCTTCCTTCCAAAAATCATAATAAAAAATAATTACTGTCTCATATATGCCTAATGCCTTAGAGCTTACAGACTATGTTGTTTTAATATCTGTCTCCCATGATCCTCACCAGGTCTGCTCTGTCGAGGGTGTGAGGCCGGAGGCCATGGGCCAATCTGTTTCCTCTGGATACATTTCATTTTTTTCTTTCTTTAATCTCTTCCTGGGCAGGGCGGTATGTATGTGTTTCAGCTCTTTGACTACTACGCAGCCAGTGGCATGTGTCTCCTGTTTGTGGCCATCTTTGAGTCCCTCTGCGTGGCTTGGGTCTATGGTGAGTGACTCTTCCCCCAGGTCCCAACCCAGTACTCACTGTCACCTCAGGGCCTGAGAGCAAAAGACAGTCATCTCCTGCTCACACCCACCTTTTCCTGGGGCACCTCCCCTACTCAGCCTCAAAAATCTTCTGGTTGCTACTGCTACCATTGTCACTCTCCTGGTTATGACTGTACCCAGACCACCCCAAGTGGGTCCAAACCCTGTCCTATCCAAACCTTTTCAGCCCTTAACAGCCTTGGTAATCAGAAAGTTATTATCTTTGCCTAAGCCGAGTCCTGCCCACTGTTGTGCATGCCTATGAATTTCAGGGAAGAGATTCTCCCAGCAGCGATTTGGAAAGACAACCATGGTAGCTTCTGTTCATTGGCCTTTGCCCATCCTGCCTCTGCCTTCGATGCTAAAGAATGTCCTTTCTCCCCCTTCCTTCCTTCTCTTCTGCACGGTAGGAGCCGGGCGCTTCTACGACAACATTGAAGATATGATTGGGTACAGGCCATGGCCTCTTATCAAATATTGTTGGCTTTTCCTCACACCAGCCGTATGCACAGTAAGATAACCCTCAGGGGGTAAAACTACAGGAAGGCAAAGAAGGACGGTGGCCGTAGGAGGGTAGATAGGCTGTTAGCCCTGGAAAGGATGTGTCCATGAGGATTGAGAATCATTTTAGATTTTCACTCGTCCTCCTCTTGGATTCTAGAAAACGATTAGCGAGATAGATTCTTCTTTTCCATTTCACAGAAGGACAGACTGAGGTTCAGAGCTGTCAGATGGCTTGAACCCACACCACAGAGTGAGTCGAATGTCACAGGGCAGGAGCAAAACCCAAGTGTCCTGGGTTGCTCATAATAATACTATTAACCACAGCAATAATAACAGCACCGTCACAGGGCACTTACTTCGCGTTAGGCATAGAGCGTGGTACACATTTTAGCCCACTTTATCTGCACAAGAACCCCATGAAGCAAGAATTACCGTTAGATTCATTTTATAGGTGAAGCTGAAGCCAGAGAGGTGAAGCCATTTGCCCAAGTGAGAAAGTGGCCGTGAGCTACTTTGGCAGCTTGGCTTCAGAGCCTGAACCATAAACCATTAAGTGCTGCTTCCTTGGGCTCTATCTTGTGTGTCAGCAGTCCCCCCACGCGCCCACTATAGGCAGGGCATAAATGAGGCCCAGGGGGAAGGAGGCATGACCCTTGCCCTTGAGGCCCTGGCAGCCCCTCCTGAAGGTGCAGGAGACTTAAGCAGCCGAAAACACCAGCAGCCATGTGACCATGTCCTAGCTGAGGGCCGGCCATGTGTATGGGTGCCCGGGGGTGCGGGGACCCTGCAGGAACAAGGTAGGTGCCCTGGAAATACTACTGGGGGTGTGGACTTTGAGTAGAATGTGGATGGGGATTGGGGGTTGATTGACCCAGTTGAGCCTGGAGGCAAATCCAGTCTTGCAAGGGGACTGGTCTCTGCCAGCTCTCCCAGGGGGGCCGAGGGCACAAGGCCTCTGCTCTCCCAGCCCCTTTCTCTTCTCCTCTCATCCTCAGGCCACCTTCCTCTTCTCCCTGATCAAGTACACGCCGCTGACCTACAACAAGAAGTACATGTACCCGTGGTGGGGTGACGCCCTGGGCTGGCTCCTGGCTCTGTCCTCCATGGTCTGCATTCCTGCCTGGGGCTTCTACAAGCTCAGCACCCTCAAGGGCTCCTTCAGAGAGGTAGAGAGTCAGTAGGGCGGGTAGGAGCCCTAGAGGGTGAGGTAGGGCCCCCATGATGATACACAGATGCCTGCCAGCAAAGGAGCCCAGTGAAGGTGCTGGGGAGGCACTGAGTGCTTCCGAGTCTCAGAAAGAGACTGGAAGCTTCCAAGTCACAGGCAGTGATGACAGGGCCGGCACCTGTAGGGCGCATTTGCCTGTGGGGGCAGCAGGCAGACGCTGGTGGTGAGGGAAGCTTGGGACATATGCCCCTGACTCCAGCTCACCACCGCCACCTCCACGTTCCTTGCAGAGAATTCGCCAGCTCCTGTGCCCAGCTGAGGACCTGCCTGGATGGAACCGAGCAGAACCCTCTGCCCCCGCCACACCCAGGACATCACTGCTCATACTCACAGAAGTGGAGTCCCACTGCTAGGTCCGCAGGGCCTCGGATTGTGCCCGTGGGCCTGGCTGTGGGGACAGCTGCAGAAGGGGAGGGCAGAAGCAGCCCCGCTGTGCTCTGCCTCCTCCCGGGGCAGATGAGAAGGAGGGTTTGGAATCCACCTTGGGTTGGGCGCCTGCCACTGGAACGTCTCTGCTCCAGGGGTGGCTGTACAGGTGTGAGATGCTGGTATCGAGGGCACCCCTTTCGCAACAGGCCTTGGGAAGCCGGATGAGGGCCGGTGGGTGGAGTGACAGCCCCGTCCCTCTTACCCTTCATTCCATTAAATCCATGCTCTTCCCACCAACTGCCAGAGGCTCTGCCTGGTTCCTGCCCCTCTGCCTTGCGGCCTTGGCCACTTCCTCACTTTACAGCTGTGGCCTTAGCGGCCCCTCCCTCCTCTCTGTCTCTCCCTGCCTCATTGAGTACTTGTGGACCATGAGCAGAGGGGACTGCGGTGGTGAGAAGGGCAGTGGGGCCCGGCTGAGACCCTCCATCCTCAGACACTCACACCAGAGGGGTCTGTCACATTCTGTCCATGCGTCTCCCACAGCCCCTTCCCTCCCTCCTTCGCTCGGTGGAATAAGCCCGGCAATGGAGGGAGGAACGAGGGCGGCCTGAGCCTTAGCTAGAGGAAAGCAGAGGAAAGTGTGGTTGGGCTTCTTCCCGCCCACATTCCCCTTACCATGTCCCTCCCTGACCCCACCTGCCAAACTTGTGAGTGCGAGCGCGGGTGCCTGCGGGGGGGGGGGCGGGGCCCGGGAACGCGGGGGAGGCAGCCAGGGACTGCAGCAGACCTGAGGCCGCAGGCATGAGAAGCCCGGACAGAACGGGCACTACTCCAGTTCAGCCAGCAGAGGGCGCCCACCTCCAGAGGACCACCTCGCTTTTCTGCTCAGCGGACAGATGCCAGGCGCGGCACCGCCGGACGTGGCCACCAGGGGGTGGCACTGCCATGACCACAGCTCGCGGTCAGGGCTGGAGCTGCGCAGATGAGCTCTTGGGGGTCAGGCTGCAAAGAGAATGCAAGTGGAGGAAGGCAAAGCCTGTCCTACCTCGGGGTCAGTGGCGTGGCCTGGTCCCCAAGTTCTACCACAGGTGTCTGCAGCCTATACTGTGGAGCTGCGTGGAGCTGGGGTGCACTTATCTCTCGGGGTGTGTGTGTGTAAGTGCCTGAACACACACAGCTGCATTTCTCCCTGAACATGTGGCGGCTTTGGGGTCGGCCGGTGTCCCCACCTCTGTTCAGATGGTCCTTCTGGCGTGGTTCTGGGGGAGTGCCTGGGATTCTTGGAGCTGCAGACTGAGGGCACACAGCGTCCCCTGGGTGATTTTCCTAGTTTGTTTTACAGGTCAGTTAGTGGGAAAATGCACCGGAATCTTTGCCAATCTTCAGTTTTTTATTTGTGGCTGTTGGGAGAACTCGTAAAAGTTGGTGATCGCGGCCCTCCTGTTGGTCGGTGTTGGCTGCTTCTTCCTGGACAATGACTGGTTGGGCCTCCCTCAGGTGTGCCAGGTGGGAGAAGTCAGTCTGCTAGAGAAACATGCTGCAACTCGAGACACCACACCCCTGGCATCTCGCCCATCTGACGATATTTCCAGAACACCTACTATGTGGTGCTGTGCTATACTCGTGACACATGACACAGTGTCTTCAATACGAACTTGTGACAGACGCTGTTTTTTTGAAGGAAAAGCAAACTGGGCTCTGGGAAGGAACTCGCTGGTTTAGATGGGGCGGGCTGCGAACCCCGTGCTGACAGTGTGACAGCTGTCTCTCCATCCATCCATGTGATCACAGCTGCAAGCATCTGAGGGAGGGGTGCCAGTGTTTCAGTAATGGCGATTTGAATCCTAGTTAGGAGATTCATTAGTGGTGGAATATGGTGTGAAAATAATCCGTTGGCCTGAGCATCAGGAGATGTGGGGTCCAGTCCTGACCTGCTTCTAACTTGTCTTTGTGGAACTTACCCGAGATCCAATTTTAGTATATGTGCTGCCGAAGTGAGCACAGGAACTTACTTGGGATTCAGATCTTCATGTTTTTCAGACGGAGGTAATACTGTGCACCCGCATGCACGCAGTCTTATTGTAGGGCTCAAATGATGTCACGGGTGTTAGAGCCCTTTCAGTCCTCAGTGCCAAATGGTGTGAGGTCATTAAGCCAGTTGGGGGGACAGATGAGGGGGATATGCTCTAATTACCCAGGGCATTGACAGGCAAAGACGTGAGAGAAAAGCCACTTGCCTGCGTCGGGGCCAGGAACAGGGGCAGGAACTCCTGAACGTCGCTTTAGCCGAGATGGTGGGGCAGGGCCTCCTGTCTGTCCCATCTGCTTTCTCTCCCTGCAAGGCCAGATACCTGATCCTGCAGTTCTCCAAGGAAAAAGACACAAAAAGAAGGGGACCCTTCTTGTCTAGCAGCCACACCTGTTAGGGAAGAAAGACAGGCGTGGGGAGCCCTGGGCAAGCGATGGCTGAATGGGGAGGGAGGAAGCCCAGCTCACTGGAGTTGTAAGCGGGGCCCTTACAGGCGGGGAAGCTGAGCCCACCAGGCTGCCTTGGAGCCTTGGATCCCACACCTCAGACCTGGCGCATGTCACAGATCCATCCATGTGCACACAGATACCCAGTCCTCTGTTACCCTCAGATAAGTGTGCCCAACTGAGATACACCACAGTCAGCCCAGTATAGTCCCTCCCAGAGGCTTGCAGTCCCCGCTGGGGTCTGAGCCTTCTTACCTACCAGCTCTGTGACCTTGGGCCGGTTCACCGTTCTGGACCTTCACTTTCTCCTCTGTAAAATGGAAATAATAATACCTAGATCAATGTGTTGTTGGAGTCCAGTGAAAGGTGTAGGGGAGAGCTGCCCCGGGGACACATTCGAGCAAATTCATCCTCTTTCCTGTGGCTCCAGCCCCACGACACTAGGCCAGGAAGAGTTCAGAGGCATCTTTGCTGTCCCTACCGCCTCTCCAGCCGCAGGCATCAAGTCGTACTGGGCCCAGAAAAAGGCTACACATTTATGGGGCTAGGCGTTTTGCAAGGGTGTAAGGGAGAGGTAGCCCTAGAAGAGCTCTGCATCCCGTGGCCCCAGAGTCGGGCTTGGCACTAGCTGTATTGTTCAGGAAAAGCGGGACCTGAGTCCTTCAAGCCCTAATCTATCCCCTGGTTCCAGGAGAGCAATGGTTTTCCAGAAAATGGAAAACGGATGGATTTTTTCCCTCAGCTTGCATCCATCCATCCATCCATCCATCCAATGAACACTGAGTGTCTGCTCTGAGCCAGCACTGCATTAAATGCTGGAGGCAAAAACAAGGAATTATGAAGCAGTCCCCACCCTTTAGATATTTATGCCCTAGGAAACAACACACTGCAGGAACAAAAGTTACATACTCACACAGTAGGTGCCATGGCAGGCCTTCTAAAAGCATGCATGGGGTTAGATGAAGGTGGTGAGGAGAACATTTTATGGGGTTCACAGTTCTCACTGCTGCAAGATGACTGAGTCATTTAACTGTATTTCATCTTGTCTCTGGACCCTCCCCAGTGTGGACACAGTCTTAAGTAGGCTTTCCAAGTAATTTCAGGATTCCTACCTTTTGTAAAGATTGGGGTCTCTGGCCTCTGGGAGTTTACTAATTGGTCTGAATACCCAGTGGGGGTTGGAAGCTGCAGGGGCCAGGGTGGGCTTGAGTAAGGATGGGCTCAAAGTGAAAAGGAGGCCAGAGCAAACAAGGCAGCTGTTCTACAAGTTGAAGGTAAGGTAGTAAGACTGCCTGTCCGTGCATAGCCCCAGGTCCCTGCAGAAAGTCTGACACATTGTAGGTATGAAATAAAAAAAAATTTTTTTATTTAAAAATTTTGTTAATGTTTATTTTTGAGAGAGAGAGAGAGAGAGAGAGAGAGAGACAGAGAGACAGAGCACGAGCTGGGGAGGGGCAGCGAGAGAGGGAGACACAGAATCCGAAGCAGGCTCCAGGTTCTGAGCTGTCAGCACAGAGTCCGATGTGGGGCTTGAACCCATGAACCGTGAGATCATGACCTGAGCTGAAGTCAGATGCTTAACCAACTGATCCACCCAGGCGCCCCCAATTTTTTAAGTTTATTTAGTTATTTTGAGAGAGAGAGAGAGAGAGAGAGAGAGAGAGAGAGAGCAGGAGCAGGGGAGGGGCAGAGAGAGGGAGAGAGAATCTCAAGCAGACTCCGCTGTCAGCACAGAGCCTGATGTGGGGCTCGAACTCACCAACTGTGAGATCGTGACCTGACCCGAAATCAAGAGTCGGCTGCTTAACCAAAAGCCACCCAGGTGCCCCTGAAATAAAATTTTTGAATGAATGAATGAGCTAGGAAATCTAACCCCTGCCTCATCTGATTCTCTTTCCTCTCGCTTCCGTTCATGGAGAGGCTGGGTATTTTGTTCTGGGATGGCTGTCGCCACTGTTCTGTAATCTCATGGACTTTGGTGTCCCTCTGCACTACGGTGGACCCAACACGCAGGGACAGGGCAGATGCAGCAATGCAGGTCACACCGTCCCAGCTGAGCCCAGGGGTAACAGGGGTGTGAATTCTGGTTGAGGCCGTGTGGCTCTGCCAGAGCTGACCTTCCGGTTTCACAGAGGCTAAGAGTCTGAGGCCGGAGACTCGCTCTAGCTTTCTCTTGCTGGGGATCCCCACAGGACATGCTGAGAGGGGCCTGAGAGACACCGAGTGGGGCTGCTTGATGGAAAACTACAGACCGAGATTCTCACTTCACACCCCAGCCCTGCTGGGAAGTTCTAAAATATGAAGGGGAAGTTCATGCAAAGGGAAATTTCCCTTGCTCCCCACAACTTCCCCTCCCTCCTCAGCACCTGGGGCTGAAAAAGCACCTTCACTGTCTTGAAAGAGACACTGGCTGTTCTGAATGAATGACCGACCAGGGGACGGTCCTGTACTCAGCACCACGAGGGCATGCTCAGGAATAATGATAAGGACCCCGTTCTGGATGAATTCACTCATGGCGGGGGCATACACATTTATTCAACAAATACCAATTCACCACTGACAGCTGCCAGGCTGTCTCAGCTGTGTGCCTTAGTGCTGAGAGGTCACCAGAACATAATTGCTGCTGCCTGGGCCCAGACACCCATCATCCCAGCCCCTGCGTCCCGAGGACACACAATAAACACCAATGACCGCCCCCACCCCCACTCGCCTTTAAGCACCTACAATATCCTAAGCAATTTACCATATTGTCTTTAACCCTGAAAAGTAGGTAGACATTGTTTTGTACCCTTTACAGATTGGAAGACTGAGGCTCAGATCCTT